TGTATATCAGTATGTAGTGTCTCTACTTTAAAGAGTCCTCTCCTGCTGATGTTCAGGTGTATATCAGTATGTAGTGTCTCTACTTTAAAGAGTCCTCTCCTGCTGATGTTCAGGTGTATATCAGTATGTAGTGTCTCTACTTTAAAGAGTCCTCTCCTGCTGATGTTCAGGTGTATATCAGTATGTAGTGTCTCTACTTTAAAGAGTCCTCTCCTGCTGATGTTCAGGTGTATATCAGTATGTAGTGTCTCTACTTTAAAGAGTCCTCTCCTGCTGATGTTCAGGTGTATATCAGTATGTAGTGTCTCTACTTTAAAGAGTCCTCTCCTGCTGATGTTCAGGTGTATATCAGTATGTAGTGTCTCTACTTTAAAGAGTCCTCTCCTGCTGATGTTCAGGTGTATATCAGTATGTAGTGTCTCTACTTTAAAGAGTCCTCTCCTGCTGATGTTCAGGTGTATATCAGTATGTAGTGTCTCCACTTTAAAGAGTCCTCTCCTGCTGATGTTCAGGTGTATATCAGTATGTAGTGTCTCTACTTTAAAGAGTCCTCTCCTGCTGATGTTCAGGTGTATATCAGTATGTAGTGTCTCTACTTTAAAGAGTCCTCTCCTGCTGATGTTCAGGTGTATATCAGTATGTGGTGTCTCTACTTTAAAGAGTCCTCTCCTGCTGATGTTCATGTGTATATCAGTATGTAGTGTCTCTACTTTAAAGAGTCCTCTCCTGCTGATGTTCAGCTGTATATCAGTATGTAGTGTCTCTACTTTAAAGAGTCCTCTCCTGCTGATGTTCAGGTGTATATCAGTATGTAGTGTCTCTACTTTAAAGAGTCCTCTCCTGCTGATGTTCAGGTGTATATCAGTATGTAGTGTCTCTACTTTAAAGAGTCCTCTCCTGCTGATGTTCAGGTGTATATCAGTATGTGGTGTCTCTACTTTAAAGAGTCCTCTCCTGCTGATGTTCAGGTGTATATCAGTATGTAGTGTCTCTACTTTAAAGAGTCCTCTCCTGCTGATGTTCAGGTGTATATCAGTATGTGGTGTCTCTACTTTAAAGAGTCCTCTCCTGCTGATGTTCAGATGTATATCAGTATGTGGTGTCTCTACTTTAAAGAGTCCTCTCCTGCTGAACCCACAAAAAAGCATAATAGGGCCTCTTTAATAAGGCATCTTCTGAGTTTGAGGGTCCGTAGTGATTCTGGTCTTCAGTTTTTCGGAGTTTCCCCCCTTTGGTTCCCTCGGTGGTCATGGTGACGCTCAACTATGCAGAGTCTGAATACAGTCAGCGGAGGAAAGAGGCCTTTGTTACCCACAACCCCTTTCACCTCCCCCCCTTCAGCGGCTCCTCATCTCAGCTCCACTTTCAGACTCTGGAAACCAACCGTGGACTGGTATAAAAAAAACTGTATTTCATTACACAGTATCCACATATTAGCAGTTAGAGTTCTAAAAACAATGAATTCCCAGTATATCCAGTATATCCCATTATGTCAACATTAAAACACCAGTTAGAGATCTAAAAACCAGTGTGTTTCCATTGAATCCAGTATATTCCTAATATTTCATTGTATTATTCTCATAATATTAAGTATATTTCTATCATATCCAGTGTATTTCCATTAAAACTCCAATATATTCCTCACAGTTCCAGTCAGTGGCGGACTGAAGTGGGCCGGTCGGACGAAGTGGGCCGGTCGAGAGTCCCAGTCCGCCCCTGGTTCCAGTATAATCCCATTAGTTCTATATATTCCAATTAACTATGTTTATTCCCATCATTTTCTGTTCGTTCCCAATACATCCAACATATTCCCATAATGTCCAATATGTTTCCATTATAGTAAACCCTGTAGACTCACATTAAAATTACAAATATGTCTATTATAATTCCAGTATATTTCCATTACATTACACTTTTTATCCAAAGCGATTTACAATGACCAATTACAGGGACATTCTCCCTGGAGTAACTGAGGACTAAGTGCCTTACTCAAGGGCACACTAGTGGTGGTGTTCCCGGCGGGATTTGAACTCACAACCTTCCGATCTTCAGCCCACCTCACTATCCATTAGACCACCACTACCACTTACATCCAATATATATCTAATATATTCTCATAATATCGTGAATTTCCTATTATATTAAGTCTCTTCCCATTATAATTCCAATATATTAATTTTACATGCAAAAATAAATATTCCCTTTATTTCCAAAGTGATACGCTGCATATTCCCATCGTAGTTCCAGTATATTCCCACTATAATCCCAGTGTATTTCCAGTATATTCCCACTATAATCTCAGTGTATTTCCAGTATATTCCCACTATAATCCCATCGTAGTTCCAGTATATTCCCACTATAATCCCAGTGTATTTCCAGTATATTCCCACTATAATCCCAGTGTATTTCCAGTATATTCCCACTATAATTCCAGTGTATTTCCAGTATATTCCCACTATAATCCCATCGTAGTTCCAGTATATTCCCACTATAATCCCAGTGTATTTCCAGTATATTCCCACTATAATCCCACTGTAGTTCCAGTATATTCCCACTATAATCCCAGTGTATTTCCAGTATATTCCCACTATAATCTCAGTGTATTTCCAGTATATTCCCACTATAATCCCATCGTAGTTCCAGTATATTCCCACTATAATCCCAATGTATTTCCAGTATATTCCCACTATAATCCCAGTGTATTTCCAGTATATTCCCACTATAATCCCACTGTAGTTCCAGTATATTTCCACTATAATCCCACTGTAGTTCCAGTGTTCCCAGTAGTTTAGTTCCCAACAGTTAACCAGCTGCTCCAGTTTAACCAGCAGGCCTGAAACAATGGAGCCGCCTGGACAGGAAGTGAGGTCACAGTACAGAGATCCCACAGAGGGGCTTCCCACAATGCACCTCTCTGAGCTCCTGTGTGGGTACAGATAAAAACATCATCAGTGCTCCGAGGTGTGATAAACACTTCCTGTCCTGAAGCGAAAACATGGTATTATTTTCTGGAAGTCAGAGCGGTTACTGGAATGACCGCTAATGACTCACAGCGTTAGCTCGTCATGCTACGTGCCCCCATCAACCTGATAACATCTGGTGGATGCAAATCTACATCTGAAAATTGTGTAGCATGTTTCATTTTCATCAAGGTGACACAATGAGTTTCCTCCTACATAGTGCCCGTGTTTACAAAGGCAACTACACAATACAACGCTAACCACACCATACATAAACTAATCCTATGCCAAAAGTGATGCCTAAAATAGCTGTTGTTAGCACTCTTTGTTAGCAACATAACGTAAACATATCTCAATCTCAAGGCTTGATCATGTGCACATTAGCTACAGTGTAGATCTGGCAATGAAAAACTGAAGTCCCAGGCTCCTCCAACAGAGAAACATGAATATATATAGGATATTAAACAAATAAAACAGATAAAATAGTGCAAGAGAATGAAATATACTATATTACCATCTTCATAGCATCCAAGCTATGCTATGCTATGTCCACACAGATATTGTTCTTTACGTGGTTGTTGAGGTCGTCGCCGTCTTGGTCCGACATTACTGGACAGCTTATTTATTATGAAATACCTAGTCTGCTAGATTTTCTGCAAAATAACTGATATTTTTTATGACATTAGTTGGTTAGCAACATTAAAAACGTGAGCTAGTGCCACATTAGCATATGAATGGTATCTCACAGATATGGATCCTTATTTGGTTGTTAACGTCGTCGCCGTGTTGTCTGACATTATTGGACGCCTCATTATTCTGAAACACCAAGTCTGAGAAATGTCACCCATTTCTAACAAAAGCTCAAGGCTAGATTTTCTGCAAAATAACAGACATTAGTTGGTTAGCAACATTTAACGTTAGCTAGTGCTACATTAGCAGTACGCTAGCTGAGAAAACAGAAGCTCAAAGCTACACCGTCTGCAAAATATCAGATATGTGTTATGACATTAGTTGGTGAGCAACATTTAACGTTTAATTAAATGTAATCGTGCTACATTAGCATATGGATGGTATCTCAACAGTGATATGGTTCTCTATGTGTTTGTTGTCACAGCTGTGTTTATTCGACATAATTGAACTTGGAGAATCGTCCCAAAAACAAACACTCTGAAAATACACAACGTCTCTGTAACAAACAGAAAATCAAAGCTACATCTGATGCAGAATCACGGAGATATTTTTATGTCAAACCATCTTTTAAATTGATCAAATGAGGATGGAGAAAAAAAATGGAGAAATTAGCTTTTTCTACGTTGTGTATGTTGTTGTTGTTGTTGCTATGTTTACTTCTGAATGAGCTGAAATGACTCCATCAGAGTTTAACCTCCAGCTCTTCTTCTGTTTGCACCCCCCCCCCCCCGAAATAACCCCCTGCTGACCTCTAATAATGGGGTCAGAGGTTAGAGTCAATATTAGGGGGGTGGGGGGATCAGCTGGTCAGTTCCCACCATGGACACAAAAGAAGTGATATTTGTATTAATATCTGTTATTATAGTAACTTTTCTGTCATTTAACCAAAATGTACAAAATTACCCTTTTAGCCTTTTTTAAATGATTATAAAATATTTGTAATTTTTTGTTTTTATTTTGTGTATACAGTTTTTCTATTATTATTTCTTATTATGTTTTTTTTTTTATTTGATTTAAAATAAAATTGAATGAATCTGTAAAATTGTTATTTATTCATCTATTTTCATTTTTTTTAATTATACATGTTTACTTTCATTTTTTCATTTTTTATTATTGTTTATTTTGATCTGCTTAGTTTCCACTGAGAATACAAGGACCAACAATACAAAGAGGAGAACAGGAGGAGCATCTTCATCCTCCTCATCCTCAGAGAGAGAGAGTGTGTGTGTGTGTGTGTGTGTGTGTGTGTGTGTGTGTGTGTGTGTGTGTGTGTGTGTGTGTGTGTGTGTGTGTGTGTGTGTGTGTGTGTGTGTGTGTGTGTGTGTGTGTGTGTGTGTGTGTGTGTGTGTGTGTGTGTGTGTGTGTGTGTGTGTGTGTGTGTTCTCTCTCAGGCTGCTCTCTCTGTCGGACTCTTTTCCTCCGGACTCTCACTGAAGGTAAAAATCTCTCTTTCATTTGAATTCAAGTCTGTTTTTATTTCCGCTAAAGTTTACAAAGAGCTTCGATACAAACGTTCGTGTTGCTTTAAATGTTTAAATAAAGTTTATTTAGAAGTTTGTTTTATCCTGCTGAGACTCGAGGAGCCGTTTCTTTGGTTTGATGAAAGAAATCCGGTTTTAACGGAAAATAAATAAATAACACGGATTTTAAAACGATTAACAAACACGAGTTAAAGTAGTGATATTATGAACTGATGAAGGGACGTCTTTTATTCATTTATGCCGTAACAAACCTTATTGAACAACATTTAATCGTTAATTAGAACCAATCAATGATCGATATATTAATACGGATTATATAGAATAACCATTTAAACACGTGTAAACAATTCATGTTGGGAGGAGATGTAATGTGCTCGAGGTCGTTATTTTTATATTCTTTTATCCATGTATTATATTTCGGCAGCCCTTAAAGGGACCTTAAACTTAAGGAAAGACACTATAAAGTAACATGTTTAAATGTGTTTTTAAGAATGTTTGTTTGTTATTTAAAAAGCTTATTATTGATCAGAAAGCTTTAAAGGTTTTTAACATAAATATAGTCCGTTTCATTATTAACCCTTAAGTGGCTTTAAGGGAAGTTTTAAGGGACATTTACTTGGTTAAAAAGTTGTTTGAGAATCATGAATGGAGGTTTTATTACCTGCCAATGGATTCATTTCAGCACTTTGCTTTCTTTAAGTAACTGAAATATACGTAAAAGTGTACGATCTATAGATTTAAAGGACAATTTGTGGAATAAAAAACGCGATTTTAGTGCTTAAAGTTGTTTTTAATGAGCCTCGTGCAAAGACTCTCAGTCATTGCAATATAATTGATTAACTCCTTATTGACTCTTAAGTTATATGTCTCTCTCTATATAAAACAAAGCTAAAAGTATACAATCTACATATTTAATTTAAGGGACATTTTTCGTGATAAAAAACAGTTTTTTTTTGTTTTTATTAACTGTGTGAAAATGTTCCGCAGTCTGTCCGCTTAAAGTGACTTTAACTTGTTCGGCTGCTTCACAAGTAAATCACATACAGATTTACCCTCCGTTTGTATAACAACAGCTTTGAAAGTGTCCTTTAACGAGCTGATAGGAGGCACTTTATAGACTTTCCGCTGGTTTTTCAAGCGTAAAAGTCTGTTTTATTAACTCTTAAGTGACTCAAAGGGATATTTAAAGTACATTCAGTCAAAGTGTAAATCCTATGGTTAAGGGACTCTGAGTGTGTTTAAGAAGTTGTTCCTTAGGATGTTGTCTCCACTAACGAGCTTATAAATACACTTTATTGGAGCTCAGGAGATGTTCATTGCCATTTCTGCAGCTTTGTGCAGATGACAATAAAACCTTTGAATAAACAGACTGACTTGAGATGGAACTTAAACCTGGAGGAAGTGTTGACTGATCAGTTCACAGGTTAAAGGTCTTTTTGTCACCTTGTTTGTTCAATAACTTGTATTCAAATGTTCCTGTTGTTCCCCCCCCCTGCAGGACGATGCCCCCCCTCAGCCCCCGGACTCTTCTTCAAGGTTCAAGGTTAGTTTAAAAAAGACAATTCATAAAAGCGATAAAATACTGGCTGCATCTAAAAGTGCAATGATAATGCACGGCTAAAGGATCTCAGGGCTGCATTACAAAGAAACCTTGATTTAAAAGAACCCAGGGTTTTGAAGGACCTCAGAATCTCAGGCAGTTTGTTCCAGGTGCTTGTGGTTAAATAAAAGCTAAAAGCTGCCTCAGCAAATGTAGATCTGACTCTGGGGATAACGAGTCAACCTCCTGATGATAAGAGAGCTCTGGCTCTCACAGTGAAGTCAAGTCAAAGTCAACTTCATTGTCAATCTTTCAGTTCGTGTGTACATGACAGAGAGATCGAAATACCGTTTCCCACAACCCTGAATACAAATGTAAAAATATGTGTATCATCAGACACATTTATACATATGCACACATTAAGACGTAAGTAAAAGCACAACAATCAATATATATACAAAATAACAGTCACTTCAATATCTTTGGGAAATGTACATTAGTGCCAGACTGTCCATATCATCTCTGACATGTGTTCCCAATCCAGGAAGTGCTTTGTACTTGAAAGTAGGATTTTGAAGTGCATCCTTTGTGTAATAGGAAGCCAGTGGAGACCTGAGTTGATGTGGTTCATTCTCCTAGTTTTCAGGATGACCTGCTGACATGAAGGCTGAAGTGTGAGGACTCGGCGCCCCCTGGTGGACCCCCCACTGCTCTGCAGGGCCATGGCTGAGGAAAGCTACTCCGACCTGATCGCCAAACACTACAACTTCACCGGGAAATACCGCAAACCTCAGCAGGACTCGGGCCTGAAGGCGGACTCCGTGGTCTTCATCATCGTGTGCTGCTTCATCATCCTGGAGAACATCCTGGTGCTCACCACCATCTGGAGGACCAAGAAGTTCCACAAGCCCATGTACTACTTCATTGGGAACCTGGCGTTATCCGACCTGCTTGCCGGCGTCGTTTACACCGCCAACATCTTGCTTTCCGGCGCCAACACGTACAAATTGACGCCAACGCAGTGGTTTTGCCGGGAGGGAAGCATGTTCGTGGCGTTGGCAGCGTCTGTTTTCAGCCTTTTGGCCATCGCCATCGAACGCCACCTCACCATGCTGAAGATGAAGCTGCACAACAACGGGAACACGTGCCGCGTCTTCCTGCTGATCAGCACGGTGTGGATGATCGCGGCGGTTCTTGGCGGTCTTCCTCTGATGGGCTGGAACTGCATCCAAAGCATGACTCGATGCTCCACCGTTCTGCCGCTCTACCACAAGACCTACATCCTGTTCTGCACCACCGTCTTCAGCATCCTCCTCCTGGCCATCGTGGTTCTGTACGCCCGAATCTACGCTTTGGTGCGAACGCGTAGTCGCAAACTCGTCTTCCGCAAGGTGTCCAACGGCCGCGGGAACTCTGGCGCCAACATCAAAAGCTCCGAGAAGTCGATGGCTTTGTTGAAGACCGTCATCATCGTGTTGAGTTGCTTCATCGCCTGCTGGGCTCCGCTCTTCATCCTGTTGCTTCTCGACGCCGCCTGTGAGACCCTAAGCTGTCCAATCCTCTACAAAGCCGAGTGGTTTCTTGCTCTCGCCGTCCTAAACTCCGCCATGAACCCCCTCATCTACACGCTCACCAGCAACGAGATGCGCCGCGCCTTCCTCAAAACGCTGCTCTGCTGCACCGCCTGCCTCAGACCCAAGTCCAAGTTCACGGGGCCGATCATGGGGGTGGAGTTCAGCCGCAGCAAGTCGGATAACTCCTCCCACCCCAACAAGGACGAGGCCGAATACTCGCCGAGGGGCACGACGACCTCTGGGAACGTCACCTCGTCATCTTAAAACCGGGTCGTACAGTTTGTGTTTCTGCAGAAAAAACGGCGTGAAAAGCGCTCGCCACAGACCTGGAACTCCAGCACTTAGAGAGACTTTCAGACTGGTGAACCAGCGCGACTCAGAGAGAGGCCGCCGCACTTTTAAGAAGCTCACGCGGGAAATATCAACAAGTCCTCGACGATCAGCTTCATGTGGATCCTGAAGTTACAGCATGATGAAGGTTTATAGTGCCAGCTTTGTGCATCTGGAGATGTTGAGACCCTGAAGTTTGATGTTAAAAATGTACAGTAGGGTCCACAGAGCATAGCAACTGCCGGATGCTAACCTGCATATGTTGGGCAATTTGAACAATTAGCACAAGTTGCGTTAACTAACCCTAACCCTAATGGCGTCATAGCCTAAATAGTTAAAATATGGCTTGCAATTTGGACAATTTTTGAGAGGTTTTGGATGTTATTGAGGATGTTGTATCCATTTCTGCAAACAACAAATGTCAGTTTTAACCAGAAAGTGGCCATCTGTGAACTCTCTGTGGACTTATTCGACTACCATGAGTAGTGTTGCAACCATTGGATATACTGAAGCGAGCACAAGATGAACATCATTACCTCTACTGTTGACAACTTTTCTTCATATAAATAAGCAATCTGTCCAATCCAAATGATCCGGAGTCCCCTAAAACCTCCAAATCAACCCAAAATTCATCAAAATCAGCCCACAGAGAGTAGTAATGTTGTCACTTTCTGGTTAAAACTGACATTTTCTATCCTAAAAATGTCCGAAATAGATTCAAGATCCTCAATAACCTCCAAAGCCATAATGGTAATTAACGCAACTTATGCTAATTGTGCACATTGCCCAACGTATGCAGGTTATCATCCGGCAGTTTCTATGTTCTGGGGATTTCTATCATAACACTTTGGGGTACTCAACATTTCTGGGTTCACTATGAGCTGCAACTAGACTAATAAAAGGGTTAAAGGTGAATATTACAACAGGTGTGAGCTTCATAGAAAGTGCTTGTGTTCCTCGTAGAAGAAGAAGAAGAAGGAGAAGAAGAAGGAGAACCAGACTTTGTACTGACCCTCTAAGAACAACTAGAACCCGTAGCGCTTAAACACACAGCTGTCAAATATTTAAGAATTCAAATTAATTCATGGAGACTTTCTTTGTTTTCCTCCACTTCCCTTAAGACATACGCACTCATGAATCCAGAGTTCAGGCGCTTCTTCAGATCCAACATTTAGGGTAATTGTCTTTTTCTGGTGTACCTGGAAACATAGGAATAAATAAATAATCGTCTTGATTTACAGAGAGGCACCTGAGCTGTGAATTCTTGTGGTCATGTGACATTTTTTTGTTGTAAAAAGTTAACTGTGTAGAAACTGTTGGTCAGAATGTATTTTCTACTTCCTGTCTGTGTTGTTGTCATTGTGCCGTAGGGACGTCGGTGTAGTGGAAATAATTTATATTTGAAAGAAAGAAACTCTTCACACATAGAAGAGAGGAGGGAACGTTTTGTTTTGTACAGTTTCAGAAGTATGGAAGCTCATTTCTGCTGAGAAGAAACCCTCAAAGCTCTTTACATACTACCATTCACCCATTCATACACACACACACACACACACACACACACACACACACACACACACACACACACACACACACACACACACACACACACACACACACACATCATCTCAAGAGCAGTTTTAATTGGATAGCTGAAGTCGAGTCACTTTCCATCACTTTTATACAATGCATTATTTTGGGTTATTAATTAAAATCATATATTTTTGGTATTAATTTATTCTGAGTCTCGCTACAGGGTCTGATTTTTTATTTCACGTTTTAAGAATCTAAATAATTTACGTGTCATATTTGACTTCATTTTTTTTTTTTTGGCAGAAATGGGCTTCCGTACTCGTCCGACTCGACCCGATTGATTAATCCATTAATGATTTTGTGTTTGTTGACGTCCAGCATGAGCTCTGTCTGCACTGTTTAACTCCTGAGTGTTTGTTGGTTTGTTAGCTCTTAATAAAGACAGAAATAGAAACACACGATGCAAGAAAAGCTGATTTTAACAACATGTTCGTTTCAAGGGAAATAATAACGCGTTTTCTAAAAGTATCCGAGCATCAAGTTGAGGAAACAGGTTTTATGTTGGAGCACTGAAATAAATTGAAGGGCTTTTGAAACAGAAACAGATTTAAGATAAGAATAAGATACGATCTACTTTATTGATCCTAATTAGGGGAATGTTTGCGTTGCAGCATAAAAAGACACGGCATCGTACAATAGAGACATTAAAAGAGAAGAAATAAACAATCCAAAATGTAAACATCTCAATAGAAATAAAATAGCATTAAAAAAGTAGAAAATATACGGAAATACAGTGACAAAATAAAGCAGGATATTATATATACATTAAGTGTGTAAGGAATGGATCATTCAATATTAAATTGAACCTAAATGTCAAAGTGGTTTTAAGTTTTGAATATGATGGAAGCTTCAACCTGTTTCTATGAAGTGAAGTCAAAGTCAAATTAAATTATATTTAGCTGATTCTTTTATCCAAAGCGACGTACAATAAGTGCAGTAACCGTAAAGATCAAGCTAAGGACAACAACAACAACAGTGCTGACATGTTTAGGGGAGACCAGGGATAGTTGCAACACTTTTTGGGCTTTTCCCCAATAAGTAAAAAACCATTTACAATAGGATAGCCATTTTGCTATATTATACATTATCAATATGTCAGCTACTGAAACATTGTATTTAAGATGTTTTTATGAAATAAGTACAGGTTGGAAAATGTATTTTAAAAAAAAAACTCAACTGTTACAACTGTCCTTGTGTTGTAGCACATGCCAGGCACGGTTGTAACATGTTAATAACGGTTACCTTTTTTCACACTACATGACAACAAATAGGGAAAGCTGTCAAATTCTAAGGCAACAAGATTTGAATGGGGTTTCACACATCCTCCAACAAACAATGAACAATGAACAGGATAACAGATAACACACACAGCATCATCCTCTGTGAAGGATTCAACTGTTCTCTGAGAGGTGCTTCTACCTTAATTATGTAGACCTACCTCCTCTGAGCTGAGACCATAGTATAAATCAGCTGCCTCCAGATAGTCTCTCAAAAGCATCTCCTGCTCTGTTGAGAACACCTTCTTTGGTGTCCAGTAGCCTACTCTTGGGGGTGTTTGTGATCCCTGACTCTCCAACCTCAGCCTCTTTGTATGGAACCGGTACAGGGTGACATGGCATATATCCAGGGACTTTACCACTTCCCTGAATGATTTGCCCTTCTCAACTTCATTTGAGGCCCTCTGCAGCAGAGCAAGTGGCACTCCCCTGTCTGTCTTCCTCTTTCTGACATTTGGCATACTGTAAACACACACACACACTTTAGGCCTACTGTACAGTATTGTATTCTGTTTATTTTTACAGGGACAATGCACACCAATCAACAATACAACTGTATGCTTGAATGAACAATTGATCATTCAAGCAAATGAGCCATCATTGTAAATGTGCCATGTTACAACCGTCCCGTTACAACCGTCCCAGGACCACCAGTCTTGCTTTCACCCCCTGTGAACCTGCTGATTGCTAGCTTGACCCATATTTAGCTAGTTATATTTGTAGCTTACAAAACAGTGATTCTAATAATACTAGTTTGGATTCCTAGACATTTGAACTCAAGACAGTATCCAAAAAATACATCATATCATTTTAGTTAATATTTGACCTCAGAAACACTTTTGCTGATATCTTACGCGAGAAATTCAAACGTGGCTCCGTTTTTTCTCAGCGATCTCACCATCTATCTGCGCATGTGCAGAGTGAGTGTCATCACTCTAGCTTGTTTGTGATTGGAGATATTGAAGGTGTTACAACTGTACCTGGTCTCCCTACTACAAACAAGCCAGACCAGAATAAGAGCTGCTGCATCAGGTACACTCTATAAGAGAAACAGGTGTGTCTTCAGTCTGCGTCTGGAGAGACTCTCTGCTGTCCTGATATCAGGGAAGCTCCTTCCACCAGTTAGGAGCCAGGCTGGCAACCAGGTGTGTTTTTGTTGAGGTGTACCTGGTTCCTCTTCACAGGGAGGAGCAAGCTGAATGAACTTGGTAGTATACGGGAGAGATTTAGGGCCCCAAGTGGAAAAAGCAGGAATTGTGACTTTAATCTCAGAATTCTTGGAGAATATTAACTCTGATTTATTTCTGAAAATCTCCGAATTCTGAGACAAAAGTCAGATTTCTGATTTTTGTCTCAGAATTCAGAGATTTTCATAAAAAAGTCAGAATTGTTTTTCTTCTCAGAAATACTTTACGTTTGGTTGGTTGTAAGCATAGACTGTTGTAAGAGGGACGAGGTGCGTCACGTGTTAATGTATCATTGGTGCTCGGGTTGACTGCCTGAACTAGCTCGCAGGCTTCGCCCCATTTGTTTACCTGAAGGATCTGCATCAGATTTAAAGACACGTCTCTGAAGGAGTCTCGATCACAAATCCTTTCATAAATCTGAAGTATAAAGAGTAAAAAAACACACAGAGGAAAAACAATATCCATTACCCTTAGAAATAAATATATTAAAGTGTAAATATCAGGTAAATATATATATGTAATGTTTATTAAGGGAAGAGGAGGAGAGGGCCTCTGCTGCCACCCTGAGGCCACATCTAGACATTACAATAACAACTTTTTTTAAATATATAAAGTAGAAAAAAACATATAAATCCTTATTTAAATACCTTAAAAATACGATAAGAATATACATCTAGAAACAAAGAAATGAACTAAACCATGAAAATTAATACAACAGAAAAATCATTGAAAGAATAGTAAAACAAGAAAATAAAGAATACAAACATTACATTAATACTGAAGACATATATAAGGCCCTTTCTCATTTCTCTAACGGTTCCCCTCCTCGACTCCTCTCTCCTCGGTTCCCCTCCTCTCTCCTCGGTTCCCCTCCTCTCTCCTCGACTCCTCTCTCCTCGGTTCCCTCCTCTCTCCTCGGTTCCCCTCCTCTCTCCTCGGTTCCCCTCCTTGACTCCTCTCTCCTCGGTTCCCCTCCTCTCTCCTCGGTTCCCCTCCTCGACTCCTCTCTCCTCGGTTCCCCTCCAATCTCCTCGACTCCTCCGCTCGCGGACTAAGACACGAGGATAGGAGTCGAGGATAGGAGTCGAGGAGGGGAGTTAGATAAATGAGAAAGGGCCTATAATTAATACAACAACAGCAACATATAAATAGAATAAAACATTTAAAAAACATTAATATATATCAGAAAAAAATATTACGAAAATAAATAAAAAAGGAAAATAAGATAAGATATACTTTATTGATCGTTATTGATCGTTATTGATCGTTACAGCAGCGTGGGAAAACAAAGGCTATGAAAGAGTAGAAAATAAACAAACATCTGAAAATAGTAAATAAAACAGAACTGAAAAGTGAGATATAAACACCGTGAAAGTTACACACCTGTAGTCCGTCTGACACACTCCATGAAGGGTCACTGCTAACACCTTACACACTGGTATCTCATTGGATATGCAGGTCTTGCAGACTAAATGTGTTAGCTGTAATTTAGCCCTTAAAGTTAAACCGTGTTTTATTTGTCAGATTTATATTTTCATTCTTTTAGATTGTTTTAATCTTCTTTTTGAGGTGTTTATATTGTATAATTATTTATTTCCTACACTTTTTTTTATTTCTAATGATGTGAAATACTCGTTTAACATGCTGCTGCAAAGAAATACATTCACACTTCTGGATTACTAAAGTATATCTTATCTTAAATTAATTCAAAGTAGCCACAAACAAAGCTGTGTTATTGGATTTATTCTCGGTTTTAATGTAAAATGATCGAAACAGGCTCTGACTTGGATGCGTGTGCGTGTGCGTGTGCGCGTGCTTGTGTGAACTCCACTTTTCTGCCAAACTCCAAGAGCCGTGATGACCCCTCTCTTCACAGGAGGCTGCTGGGAAATGGAGTCTTTCACTCAGCCGTTGAGCCAGCGCCCCTCCCGGTCGGGGACTACATTTCCCATCATGCTCCGCGCGTCTTCTTCCCTCCTTCCTTCCTTCCTGCAGCCTCGGCCCTTCTGCCGTAAAAAAAAAAAAGAAAAAAGAAGGAAGGAAGATGAGAAGCAGCCGCGCGCCGACACCGAGGAGCCGAACCGGAACCGAGTGCAGAACCGCAGAATGAGTCCAGAGGAACCATGGCCGAGGCGCGGCTGCTGACGGACCGGATATCAGGTGCTGTTCCGCGGCCCTGAAGAGACCCGGAGCCGCTGGAGAGACCCGGAGCCTGGAGGATCTGCAGGGCCGAACCGAGCCGAGCCGAGCCGTCCTGATGCTCAGCGGCTGTCTGCAGGGCTGAAGACCGCACCGTCCCTGAAACCAGAGCAGACCCCCCCCCCTCAGGTGAGAGAGACACACCTGGAGACATACCTGAGACCCGCAGCTAGGCCTGGTCCGGACCGCACGAGAGTTCTGATCCGGACCTCACGAGAGTTCTGATCCGGACCTCACGAGAGTTCTGATCCCACGAGAGCTGCAATAAATCCAGTAATCTGAACACATTTTAAGAACTAAAATATAGTAGAAGTATTCAGATCTTGTACTTGAGTAAAAGTAGAAGTACTCAGATCTTGTACTTGAGTAATAGTAGAAGTATTCAGATCTTGTACTTGAGTAAAAGTAGAAGTACTCAGATCTTGTACTTGAGTAAAAGTAGAAATACTCAGTAAAAGTAGAAGTACTCAGATGGTGTACTTGAGTAAAAGTAGAAGTACTCAGATCTTGTACTTGAGTAAAAGTAGAAGTACTCAGATCTTGTACTTGAGTAAAAGTAGAAGTACTCAGATCTTGTACTTGAGTAAAAGTAGAAATACTCAGTAAAAGTAGAAGTACTCAGATGGTGTACTTGAGTAAAAGTAGAAGTACTCAGATCTTGTACTTGAGTAAAAGTAGTAGTACTCAGTAAAAGTACTCAGATCTTGTACTTCAGTAAAAGTAGAAGTACTCAGTAAAAGTACTCATATCTTGTACTTCAGTAAAAGTAGAAGTACTCAGTAAAAGTACTCAGATCATGTACTTGAGTAAAAGTAGAAGTACTCAGTAAAAGTACTCAGATCTTGTACTTGAGTAAAAGTAGAAGTACTCAGTAAAAGTACTCAGATCTTGTACTTCAGTAAAAGTAGAAGTACTCAGTAAAAGTACTCAGATCTTGTACTTGAGTAAAAGTAGAAGTACTCAGTAAAAGTACTCATATCTTGTACTTCAGTAAAAGTAGAAGTACTCAGTAAAAGTACTCATATCTTGTACTTCAGTAAAAGTAGAAGTACTCAGTAAAAGTACTCAGATCATGTACTTGAGTAAAAGTAGAAGTACTCAGTAAAAGTACTCAGATCTTGTACTTGAGTAAAAGTAGAAGTACTCAGTAAAAGTACTCGTATCTTGTACTTCAGTAAAAGTAGAAGTACTCAGTAAAAGTACTCATATCTTGTACTCAGTGAAAGTAGAAGTACTCAGATCTTGAGTAAAAGTACTCAGATCTTGTACTTCAGTAAAAGTAGAAGTACACAGGTCTTGTACTGTATATTCTAGTTTTTTATATATTTCCTGTGTATGTTTGTATGTATTTTATAGTTTTTAATATAAGATGAGAGGAGAGAGATTCACACAGGTTAATAAAATCAAAGATACAAAATAAATAAATAAATAACTATGAAATAAGAAATGAATTAAAATGAACATATATTCATATTATATATATTTATATATTCCTGTGTATGTTTGTATGTATATTATAGTTTTTTACATATTTCCTGTGTATTGTATATGTATTTTACATGTATTGTATCTGTTGTGCGTGTCCCCTGCAGCATGGAGCGCTCCGGCAGCGTCCAGCTGGACATCCCAGACTTCAGTAACTCGGTGCTGTCTCACCTGAACCAGCTGCGCGTTCAGGGCCGTCTCTGCGACATCGTGGTCAACGTGCAGGGCCAGAGCTTCCGGGCGCACAAAGTCGTCCTCGCGGCCAGCTCGCCGTACTTCCGCGACCACATGTCTCTGGGCCAGATGAGCACCGTGTCGCTGACGGTCATCAGGAACCCCTCTGTGTTCGAGCAGCTGCTGAGCTTCTGCTACACCGGGCGCCTCTGCCTGCAGCTGGCCGACATCATCAGCTACCTGACGGCCGCCAGCTTCCTGCAGATGCAACACATTATTGATCGCTGCACGCAGATCCTGGAGGGGATCCATCTGAAGATCAGCCTGGGGGAGGAGGACGAGGAGGACGAGAATCGAGGGGGGCGAACGCTGGAGGCCGCGGTGCGAAGTGGAGCGAATCACTCCGGGTTGAGACTGATCAGCACCAGAGGGCAGAGATGGCAAAAGTACACACATCCTTTCCTCAAGTAGAAGTACAGATACTCGTGTTTAAAAATACTCTGGTGAAAGTAGAAGTACTGACTAAACTTCTTTACTCAAGTCAAAGTAAAGAGGGCTTTGAAATGTACTTCAGTAAAAAGTACCCATAACTAGCAGCTGTTTTAAAGAGTACCTGACCTCCCTTTATATTAATAGAACAATAATGTCATTGTTAGCTAATGAATGTTTCCATGCTGAACAACGGCAACATGACAACGTTTTCATTGGTCCCTCTTCTTTAGAGAAGACCAGGAAATGATGGATACACGGATCGTGTTCAAATCAATAGGCACGCAATGACTCTAAATAATAATGATCACGCCACCAAACACACATTCAAACTAAAGGAACCAGCCTGTTTGGGAAATGAGAGAAGTAGAAAGTACAGGTATTTGTGTTCAACATGTGAGAAGTAGAAAGTACAGGTATTTGAGTTCAACATGTAAGAAGTAGAAAGTACAGGTATTTGTGTTCAACGTGTAAGAAGTAGAAAGTACAGGTATTTGGGTTCAACATGTAAGAAGTAGAAAGTACAGGTATTTGTGTTCAACATGTAAGAAGTAGAAAGTACAGGTATTTGGGTTCAACATGTAAGAAGTAGAAAGTACAGGTATTTGGGTTCAACATGTAAGAAGTAGAAAGTACAGGTATTTGTGTTCAACATGTAAGAAGTAGAAAGTACAGGTATTTGGGTTCAACATGTAAGAAGTAGAAAGTACAGGTATTTGTGTTCAACAAGTAAGAAGTAGAAAGTACAGGTATTTGTGTTCAACAAGTAAGAAGTAGAAAGTACAGGTATTTGGGTTCAACATGTAAGAAGTAGAAAGTACAGGTATTTGTGTTCAACAAGTAAGAAGTAGAAAGTACAGGTATTTGGGTTCAACATGTAAGAAGTAGAAAGTACAGGTATTTGTGTTCAACATGTAAGAAGTAGAAAGTACAGGTATTTGGGTTCAACATGTAAGAAGTAGAAAGTACAGGTATTTGTGTTCAACATGTGAGAAGTAGAAAGTACAGGTATTTGTGTTCAACATGTAAGAAGTAGAAAGTACAGGTATTTGTGTTCAACATGTGAGAAGTAGAAAGTACAGGTATTTGAGTTCAACATGTGAGAAGTAGAAAGTACAGGTATTTGGGTTCAACATGTGAGAAGTAGAAAGTACAGGTATTTGAGTTCAACATGTAAGAAGTAGAAAGTACAGGTATTTGTGTTCAACATGTAAGAAGTAGAAAGTACAGGTATTTGGGTTCAACATGTAAGAAGTAGAAAGTACAGGTATTTGAGTTCAACATGTAAGAAGTAGAAAGTACAGGTATTTGTGTTCAACATGTAAGAAGTAGAAAGTACAGGTATTTGGGTTCAACATGTAAGAAGTAGAAAGTACAGGTATTTGAGTTCAACATGTAAGAAGTCAAAGTAAAAAGTCCTCAGAAAAATAAGTAGTGGAGTAAAGTACTGATACCAGAAACATTTATTTAAAGGTCCCCTATTATACTGTTTCTCATCAATATATCCCAGGTCTCAGATATATCCAGAACCTGTCTCTGATTGGCTGAAACACCAAACAGATCATTGCAGCATTACCCATAATCCCCTCTGTTTCAGCCCTGTTTCCAAAGTGCTGATTCTCTGTCTGTTACTTTAGATGAAAATAAGGAGCCCCTCCCCACGCCCCTCTGAGAGAGATTTGGTTACAAATAACTCAATAGGCGCGTTCACACCGGAGTACTTTGCCGTATTTAGTGCCGGCACTCAGAGCCCCGGCACGTATTACCCCAGGGCATTTAGTACAGATCGTGTTCACACCGGAGTACTTTTCCCTGAGGGAAGATTACGCAAATGAAGCCGCTGACGTCACTTCTTCTTCTTCTGCTTTGGGTTTACTGGCAGGCCACAAACCACTTCACGGCGTATACTGCCACCCGGAGTCCCCGGCCGGAAGTCCCCGGAGTTGGGGAAGGCTTCAGTAGAAGCTGCTGGGACTCCCAGCAGCTTCTACTGAAGCCTTCAGAGTAAATCTCCAGAACGCCGACACCTCCTCATCTCCACCGCTCCCATGTTTTCTTTTGTGTTGCCATAAGTTAGTCTCTCTGCGTTTGTGCGCTGGGCAAATGCTAATGCTAATAATGCTAATGCCAGGATAATAAAATGGCGGCTCGACAAAACTTTTTAGAGTTGTACGGGGCGTGGTTTGCAATTCGCCCAGCCAATCAGAACTGGGGCACTTTTCCCCAGGAAAGTACCATCTCTCAGCAGGCACTAAACATGGGGGTAAAAGTTCCAGAGATGAAGTGCTCTTTTTGGTGTGAACGCGACATAAGAGGTACTAACGGAACTAAACGCGAAAAGTACGGGGAAAAGTACTCCGGTGTGAACGCGGCTATTGGTGCTCTAGGAGGAGATTCAGGTGATAAGGGGGGGGGGGGGGTTACCTTGGTTGCTGATTGGCTAATGGTTGCACAAGACAAAACATCGTTATGACATCATAAAGTGGCCAAAATCTGATCAGCTCATTTTCAGACAGGTTTTTATAGAAATGGATCAAAAAGAGAGAGAATCTTTGAGACTCTGAACACAGAGGGGACACATGTTGATGTAGAAGAGACATGAAGAAGAGGGGACACATGTTGATGTAGAAGAGACATGAAGAAGAGGGGACACATGTTGATGTAGAAGAGACATGAAGAAGAGGGGACACATGTTGATGTAGAAGAGACATGAAGAAGAGGGGACACATGTTGATGTAGAAGAGACATGAAGAAGAGGGGACACATGTTGATGTAGAAGAGACATGAAGAAGAGGGGACACATGTTGATGTAGAAGAGACATGAAGAAGAGGGGACACATGTTGATGTAGAAGAGACATGAAGAAGAGGGGACACATGTTGATGTAGAAGAGACATGATGAAGAGGGGACACATGTTGATGTAGAAGAGACATGAAGAAGAGGGGACACATGTTGATGTAGAAGAGACATGAAGAAGAGGGGACACATGTTGATGTAGAAGAGACATGAAGAAGAGGGGATACATGTTGATGTAGAAGAGACATGAAGAAGAGGGGACACATGTTGATGTAGAAGAGACATGAAGAAGAGGGGACACATGTTGATGTAGAAGAGACATGAAGAAGAGGGGACACATGTTGATGTAGAAGAGACATGATGAAGAGGGGACACATGTTGATGTAGAAGAGACATGAAGAAGAGGGGACACATGTTGATGTAGAAGAGACATGAAGAAGAGGGGACACATGTTGATGTAGAAGAGACATGAAGAAGAGGGGACACATGTTGATGTAGAAGAGACATGAAGAAGAGGGGACACATGTTGATGTAGAAGAGACATGAAGAAGAGGGGACACATGTTGATGTAGAAGAGACATGAAGAAGAGGGGACACATGTTGATGTAGAAGAGACATGAAGAAGAGGGGATACATGTTGATGTAGAAGAGACATGAAGAAGAGGGGACACATGTTGATGTAGAAGAGACATGAAGAAGAGGGGACACATGTTGATGTAGAAGAGACATGAAGAAGAGGGGACACATGTTGATGTAGAAGAGACATGAAGAAGAGGGGACACATGTTGATGTAGAAGAGACATGAAGAAGAGGGGACACATGTTGATGTAGAAGAGACATGAAGAAGAGGGGACACATGTTGATGTAGAAGAGACATGAAGAAGTGGATTTTGCACAATAGGTGACCTTTAAGTAACAAAGTATTTGTACTCCACTACACTCTGCAGGGGGGCAGCAGAATGCGAGGCCATCAGTCCTGCAGATGATCCTCTCAGCCCTCCGCCCCCCGTGGAGAACAGCGGGATGGAGGGAGGCTCGTCCATCACCACCATTAGCGCAGGTCGTAAAGAACCGATCCTCCGCATCAACCGGGCCGGGCAGTGGTTCGTGGAGACCAGCAGCGAGCCGGAGAGGACCGGCAGCTCGGAGGAGGGCGGCGGCACCGAGAGGGTCCGGATCAAGAAGGAGAGGATGGAGGACTGGGGGAATCAGGAGGAAGAGGAAGGAGAGCCAATAGGAGAGGAGACCACCGTGATGATCGACACCTCGGGGAGAAGCACGCTGGTGACCGGGCCCAACGCCCAGCCGTCATCCAGCTTCAGCGAGGCGGACAGGTGAGATTCTACTGTCGTTGTTATAAAAATGTTTGGTTCGTAATTTTGTGGGCGGGGCTTAGCGGAGAGACAAACGGCAGGTTTGAGATGTTTGTAAAAGCTTGTCAAATTACCGTTTGTGTGTTTCAGGTTCAGTCCCACAGGCAGTGTCGTCGTCCTCGCCGAGCGTCAGAGAGCGAAGAGTGAGTCTCCGAGCCGAGCGGACGATCTGCGACCGCCTCAGGTACAGAACCAGAACCAGAACCAGAACCAATGAGGTCATTTGAACTGTCAAGTAAATAGAAACATCTCACTCGTCCCCGGCTTGAGCTTCAATCTCAGGATCCATGTATCTGTGATCCTCTCCAGAATGGAAGGAGTCATCACATACAGAGCATCAAGTAGTTCCTGAACAGTGTCCTTCACATGCTGATATCCAAGAGAGGGAGTTACACAGTCACAAGATGGAGGAATAGAAAGCAGTATTCAATGTTTACTTCAGATTAGCTCCACGTCAGAAATGAGCATGCTTGTCATATGTCTATCTCCATAGAGGCTGAATCATCATGTTAATCACATAGCTATCATATGCCTCAAACAGTCCTGATGCTCTTCTAGGTAATCACACATCCTGTCATGTTCACAGCTACAGTTGGGATACCTTTGTTATCATGCTACTCTCATGTTGGAAGAGGACATTCAGGATTTTCCCAACCGAAATGTCGCTTGGATTTCAGATCCAGTGATGCATGTTCTGGTTCAGTATTAACGTATTTTCTCATCAGGGCGAGGAGAACACCTCCTTTGATATGGGCGGCTACGAGGACTACCTGAGGGAGCAGGTGGGCGACCGCTGGTTCCGCTACAACCCGCGTCTCACCTGCATCTACTGCTGCAAGTCCTTCAACCAGAAGGGCAGCCTGGACCGCCACATGCGGCTTCACATGGGCATCACGCCCTTCGCGTGTCGCATCTGCGGGAAGAAGTACACGCGCAAGGACCAGCTGGAGTATCACATCCGCAAGCACACGGGCAACAAGCCCTTCCACTGCCACGTCTGCGGCAAGAGCTTCCCCTTCCAGGTAGGGATGGGAATGATTAATCCAATACTCGAATATTGAAACAATTCTTTCCTAGTTCCTTAGAGTCCAAGGGGATGTGTTCAAAAGTCCACATATACACAGAGGTATTACGTAACTAAGTACTTTTACTCAAGTACTAGATCTGAGTACTTCTACTTTTACTGAACCACAAGATCTGAGTACTTCTACTTTTACTGAACCACAAGATCTGAGTACTTCTACTTCTACTTTTACTGAACCACAAGATCTGGTATCAGTACTTTACTCCACTACTTATTTTCCTGACAACGTTTTTTTTTATGGGAGGGGTGCCTAAATGGATTACATATGAAATAGATTAATTAAATGTATACGACAGTGCCATTTTAGATATCTTTTTTTTTATAGGATATGTAAGATAACATAAGATAAGATGGACCTTTATTAATCCCCGTGGGGAAACTCAGTAGTTTAACAGCAACAGGGTAAGATTGAAAAACAAGACAGCACAGATTCTCACAGATTAGAGATTAATACATTTAAAGGTGGGGTAGGTCATTTTTGAGAAACCGGCTCGAGTGCGTAGAATCTTTAAAAATACACAACCAAAGAAAATCTGCCACTTCCTCACAGAGCCCCTCCTCCAACACACACGAACGCGCACATGACCAATGAGGGCACGAGATAAGTTTGTGCACAGATGGAAGGCTGACAGGCAGGTAGGCCATCCAGTTATTTTAGCCGGGCCGGCTCAGATGATTGGTCGTGCTTTTTACAGAACTACAGCTTCCACAGATGATATTTATTTATGGATTTATTGTCAAAGCACTTCAGATATTCATTGCTATCAGGATGTTAAGAGCATTCCATGGAATATAACAACAAGTGTATCTCGAGCCGGTTTCTCAAACTTACCTACCCCACCTTTAAGGATAAAATCAAATATAAATAATTAAAAAAGATAAATAACTATAAAATATGAAATGAATTAAAATGAACATATATACATATTGGGTCATGTGTACATATTATGTACATGTGTGTGTGAAAGCAGTGAATACAGTGTGTATTTTATGTCCAGTAATTGTAAAAAATGTTAAAAAAATTCGGTTAACCGTTTTTTTAGGGGTTGAATATTCGAATATAAATATGCTTTCAAATTCCCATCCCTACTTCCAGGCCATCCTCAACCAGCACTTCCGTAAGAACCACCCGGGCTGCGCTCCCCAGGAGGCCCAGAGCGCGTCGCCAGAGACCACCACCACCTCCGTGACCTCCAGAGGGGGGCCCAGCGACGAGGCCTCGCCCAGCCAGGAGGAGGGAGAGGGCGGGGGGGCGTACGGAGAGGGACCCCAGGCCTCCGTCTCCACCACGGGGCCCGACTAAAACCCCTGAACTGTCTCCGCTTTAAACCGCATCTACCTTCACAAAGCTACCCAACAGATGAAGCTCAATGAAGAAACGCCACACACTCCAACAACCTCAGTCGCCACGCCACGTGGGTCTTTTACGTTACAGATTTCTACTTTTATATTTACAGTTACAGGTTCAACAGACAAACGGCTCAGTGCCAGAGCAACACTAAAACCTTCATATCTGCCTCGAGACAATCCAGAGCGGCGCGGTTAATATTCATATTTATAAAAGTAATCCTGCACGCTCTCTAAAGTGCCACAGCGGCAATACAACATTTAGATGCACAAAAAGTCAGACTGTTAAAGTTCCTGTGTGATCAGAGTTCCTTTCTCATGAAGCTTAGTGGGAAAACATTACACACTAATTATCTCAGTGCTAACCATTAGTTTAATTTGCATCATCAGTACAGTGATCATTTGCTCTTTAAGTGATAGATATAGGAGAATATCTCCACAGACTCCAAGGAGACATCTTCAAATATATGTTTGTGTCTGATCGAAGAGTGTAACTTTATTGTTAGAAGATAAAGAAAAACATGAACTGTCTAGAAGGGCACTTTACCAAGACCAGTTAACACAAGTTATACATAATTCATGTCTGCACCTCCCTAAGATTCATCAAAATGGGGCCAGACAAACATAACCTCCTTGGAATTGGTGTTACTAATCTCATCTAAAAATAACCTCGATTTAATATTCTAAAGACATGGTCCACTAACTTTCCTATTCCCAGAGCTTTCCACTGGTTCCCTTGGTCTTCTTTAGAGAATCCGACCTGCTCAGCTGTCATCAGGTAATCTAGGGAAAGGACTTCAACCCTCATTTATTAAAGTCCAATGTTACCTCTCTGCCTGGTTAACACTGAGAGGGAAGAAGGTCATGGGAGGAAAGCTCCAATGATTTAGTTTCAATCATCAGGTAAAGAACTCTGATCACATGGGATTACCTAATTTGGCTGTAAAATATACAATTCAGATTTATTGATTGATAGTTAGGGCTGTACCGAACACAACAAAACTAACAATATTATATTATTATTGCAATTCAATTTCAGAGGTAGCTGCGTACAAATGTTTCAATATTTTCCAATAAATCCAGAGCGTTGGAAAGACCAAAGTCAAAAACATTGTTAAAACTATTCACAACATGTTTTTATCCAACCAAAATAGAGTATATACTGTAGGAATTATTGATTTTGTATCAGAACCAGGAGTAATTACATGTGGTGTTCCACAGGGATCCATATTCGGACCCCTAACTCTTTATCCAAAATATGTAAATTATATATTTTAAACCTGCAGGTGATTGTGAGCTCCTTCTGAATGCTGACAATTCAGTTTGCATTTATTAAAAAAAAGTTTGATTTTCACAACATTTCACAAAGTTTAAAAAAATAATAGACTAGACAGTAGTTTAACAGCAACAGGGTGAGAATGAAAAACAGGACAGCACAGATGCAGACAAGATTAAATACAATTAAAGATTACAATTATATACAGGTAAGTAACTTTTAGAATTAAATGAACATATATACATATTTGAGTCATATATACATATTAAATATATTTACTTGTATGTAATCTAACAGCACCACGAGTACATTTATACGACCACAATATCAAACCGCAGTATTGAACACTAACGCTCGGTACAGCCCTGCAGAAACCTAAGAGCTTGTGAGGTTCTGGTGCACCTGGCAGCCTGTTGACGAAGATAAGCTACACCGCTCAGTTACCTCTCATCACGACGCAATACAGCTGCTGCCCCGCACAGCACCACCGGGGGGCGCTCTCACCACAGGGCCCCCAGAGACTTCTCAGATATTTTTATAAACAAGCATGACTTCTTCTTCTTTTTTTTTGCTTTTTCTTGGACACTTTTTTTGCTCTGACAATGTGTGTAACGAACGAGGAGGCCGAGTCACGACCCGACCGGGAACTTATTGTTTGGGACGCATTCAATCTGCTGCACGTCCGCGAGGGAAACGGGGTTTAGCTAGGGGGGGTTAGAAAGATCGATATATCTTATAATATCATTTACATTCAAAGACTCGTCTCAGACGTCGGCTTATATTTGAGTTAAAACACGTTAGATATCTGTCCTGTAATCTGTCTTTTACGATTTGATTTACATCGTAACGGAGACCAGGAGTCGAGTAAGGGAAGAAAAGTAAACATTATAACTAAGATTTTATGCATTTGGCGATGTATTCTTTATACGCAGATAGTTAGACGTATAATTAGTTAAAAATCTCTGTACACTTTACTTTCCGGAGATGCTATTAACAATTATTTTCCTCAGCTCTGTTCAGTGATTCTGGTTTATTGGAATATTTTGCTGAAAAAAAGTTGGAAAAAGGCTCTAAATTGTCGTACGCAACTTATAACCAGAACATATTAACATTAGCTAACGTAGCTTTTGTCCATTAATGCTTGATTTTCGATCGTTCATAGATGGAAAAAGCTTAGTATTACAACTTTACATTTCCAGACAGAGAAGCTTGCAATTCACATCATCAGGAAATCGCTTCTAGCCTTTTTTATTTTACATTACACAAATGGCAAATTTATCGTACAAATGCGATAATTATCGTACATCCGACAGCTCTGTTTCTTATCTTCCCAGCGTCCTCATTGTTATGGGCTATAGTCGCAGTTTAAAATGCTAAAGAACGAAGGCAGATGGACGTCTCAAATACAGTTTGAAAACATGTAAAAAAGAGTATGACATGAGGGTTTACACAAATAACCGGATTTTAACATTGTTAAAACTATTCACAACATGTTTTTATCCAACCAAAATAGAGTATATATGGTAGGAATTATACTTTTTTTTAATCAGAACTGGGAGTAATTACATGTGGTGTTCCACAGGGATCCATCTTGGGACCCCTAACTCTTTATCTAAAATATGTAAATGATATATCTTTTCGAATTTTCCGAACGTATAACGAGCGTAGGGTCCCGTGCAGCAGAGGTAATGCGTCCCACTGTCGGGTCAGTGATCGGGGGGGGCGGGGGTTTCCCCGTCAGACAGGATGGATGTATTCTCCGGACCATTGAGCCGGACTTAAACCCTCAACAGGTCTCAGATCAGCAACCGGAGGGCGGCGGGTCCGGACACCAAAGGAAAGAGGACGAGGAACTTCAGCACTTATCAGAGAGAGAGGATCAAAAAACTTTTTATAAGAACAATATAAATCACATATTATCAGACGTATTTAAACTACTATGATGTTTTTTTTGTTTTTGCATAATGTAAGTCAGCTGGTAGCACGTGGAGCGGCGGTTTTGGGTTTTTCTACAGCGCCGCCGTGAGTCTGACGTTTTTATGCAAGAAGCCAGCGGCTGTGACTGTTCAGGCGAACACAGGAACCTTCAGGTATTCAGACTCTCTTTCCGTTAGCCCACGTAGCAGAGCGCTAACGGCTAAACCTCAGAAACCTGTCAATAAACTTAGACTGCAGCCGCGGGAGAGGGGGGGGGGGAATCCCGCGAGTCAAAACCCAGGGCTGGGCAACATAGAACAACTCTCTCCAATGCACCAACTACACAACCTCTCCAATGCACCATGGCAACAGAAAATACTGCTCTCCGATTGGCTGACAGGTATTCGTTAAACTCCTGTTAGCTTACTGATTTCTTTATTCTGAATAATGTCATGAATCTGATACGGGTCATGTAGACAGCATATTCTTTATTGTTCCCTGTTCTGAATGCAGTATTCTCAGATGAAGGCGTGTGTGATTTGCTGATATTATTCAGGTTTTAGGAGGATTATTTGTACGTGTATGCAGCACATTCACAATGAGAGGCTCGGTTTTTGTTCTCTTGCAGAGCGCTAAGAAATGTTTACTTGGTAAATAAGAAACTTGTGAAGCATATTTTAGGAACTGCGGCTTTGTGTTGCATAGTGTTAGCTGATGAAGTGAAAAAGTGCATCAGGAAAAACAAAAAACTCCTCAAAGAAAAACTTTTTACAAGCTAAAACGTGCCGTGTTGCCCAGCTCTGAGAGAAAAAGGAAAAAGTCTTGCAGGAACAAACAGACTGAAGTCATTCAGAGAGGAGCAGAAAAATAACTCGACAAGTCTGACCGAGTCCACACGTGCACAGGTTTCTCTGAGTTTTGGCCTCTTATACTCACGCTGATTTAAGTCACTAAAACACCTCTTAATATGTCAGTTTATCTAACCTGCTAACAGGACCTTTCAAATGTTTACACATTAATATATTTTCTGAATCTACATCAACAACTCACCTCACAGGTTTTCCTTCTTTTTTTAAATCCATAAAAAGGTTCAAAACACCTGAGTACGTGTGGACTAGGCCTATTCGCTGCTGATCAAGACGTTTGGGGTTACGTTTGGTCACCAGTGATATTTTTACAGACTGAATATTTCTGTCCTCTCTGCACATCATTTTATAACTCAGTTAAAGTCACAAATCGCTGCTTCCAGATCAGATGCTGGACTCGAGTCCGGTCCCGCCCGGAGGAACCCGGAGGAGGAAAACTCGGATCAGAGTATAGACGACAATAATATGTTAAATAAAATACTAAGAAGTACGCGGTGAGGGGGTAGTATTCGAGAAAATCTTTAAAATGTATTAAACTTGTACATTTCCGAGCGAAAGTCTTGAATATCTTGAAAAATATATAGATTTTCTCTCCGAATGTAACTCCCCTTTTGGGGCTCCTTAATCTAAAATTGCATTTATACACAGTCTTGATTTGTTTAAATGAAGTGCTGCGTAGTCAAATATAGATTTCACTTCAAATAATGTATAGAAACAGGCAGTAAAAGTGATTTCCAGTTTGAAAAAGTAATACAAAGATTCTTCTTGTATTAACACTGTGGGTGTTTCTCAATCGCGAGTAAAGCTGCTTCAGAGCCACTATTTCAAGCATACTACGTCATCGAGTGCCGCCGAAGTACTGTTCCAATGTCCAGCATACTTGGAAATCTACCGAGCCCGGCGTACTCCGTTTGGAGAAATATCGAGGCTGCACATGAGTAGACTCTGCGGTCTTAGAATCCCCACAATGCTTTGCGCACGGACCAATTTCCCCAAATCTGTGGCGGAAGATGTAAGAGGCGGGGCCTCTCATATGACGCACACCTGCACACTTGCTAGCGTGTTCCACTTATTCTTGACTCGCTTCTGAAGCAAGATGCTCGGCAGACATGTGCTACCAAGCAAGCGTACTCGCGATTGAGAAACACCCAGATATTTTGAGTGTTAAGCATCACATATATAAAAAAAACATGTTTGAATTTACTCAAGTTCTAAATGAATGTTTTAAAGACTCACAATCCGACTCTTCCTCCTCCTCCTCCTCTTCATCTCAGTTAAACTGTGAAAACAGCTCAACCTCATCTTCATCGGTTTACTTTCAAAACGCCAAACGTTGGTTTCACGTCTCCTCAGCTTCTGGCTCTTTTATTATTTTGTACTGTGTGAATCAGATGTTTTACGATATCCAGTAATATTGACCACGACATGCCTAATTATAAATCATTTAGCTATATTCACTTAATGAGATTACTCTTTACTGTTGATTCCTCAAAGTATATCCTAATATATCGATGCAGAGTCAAAAAGAAACGTTTAGTAAATTAACTTTTAATACTGTACATGTTATTTTAAAGAGGAGGTACTTAACACGTGTCGTAGGAACCGGAAAAGGTTTTATGTGAAAATGCTTTATGTTGCATGTCTCTGTTGGTGGAGGGGGGGGGGGGGGGGGGGAAGGTTGATTATAAGTTTAGAAAAATGTGAAGAAGCTTCTTTCACCATGACCACTAGATCTGTCACAGGTCGCCTCCACAGGAAATAAAGCACTTTAAGTGTCCACAGCCACGCCTCGTTCTTTACCTGCACACATTACCCACAATGCACCTGACGAGAAAACACCTTTTATCAAATCAAATCAAATCAAGTTTTATTTATAAAGCACATTTAAAAGCGATTTTTGGTCGAGCCAAAGTGCTGTACATGTAATAAAAACACTTTACTACAATCACAATAAAAGACAATAAATTACAACAGATATAAAAAATTAAAAAAGACACAGGGAAAAGTCAGGAGTCGTGCTCCGCTCTGACTAGAAGGCCAGAGAGAAGAAGTGTGTTTTTAGAGTAGATTTAAAAACCCCTAGGGTCTGGGCCGACCTCACATGGAGGGGCAGAGTGTTCCAGAGCCTAGGGCCAGCTGCTGAGAAGGCTCGGTGCCCTCGGGTTTTGAGCCTGGTCTTGGGCACTACCAGCAGCAGCTGGTCAGCAGACCTTAAAGCTCTGGCTGGGGTGTAGCGCTGGAGGAGTTCAGCTATATAGGCCGGAGCCAGCCCATTTAGTGCTTTAAAAACAAATAAAAGGAGTTTAAAATCAATTCTGAACCGAACTGGTAGCCAGTGCAGTGAGGCCAGAATAGGGGTGATGTGGTCACGCTTTTTGTGGCCCGTCAGCAAACGTGCAGCTGCGTTTTGGACTAGCTGTAAGCGTTTAATTGAGTCCTGGTCCATACCCACGTACAGAGCGTTGCAATAGTCCAGTCTTGAGGTTACAAAGGCGTTAATAACCCTTTCTAAGTCATTAAAAGATAAATACGACTTTTATCTCGTTAGATGTACGGACATCTACTGTAGTAATCAGTATTAGATAGTTAGCTCTAAGATAAATAGTTCAAATAATTAGCTAAAATGAACAGTTAAAATAGGAAACGGTAACGGATAAACAATAGAAATAATTAGCTCAACATAGGGGATAACCAGCTAAAAGACTAACAGACTGTTGAAGTAGTTAGCGAAAAGTACCACAAACTGTTTTAAATAATTAGGGGATTAATAGTTGTAATTGTAAGCTAAGTTGTATGCTAATAGCTAGCTAAGTATTGAATAAACAGTTAGCTAAAGCTTTTAAATAGCTGTTTATCTGTTCTAACGGATAACAAATAGTTCAGACAACTCATGTGTTTCTTAATATGTTTATTAGAAGCAGCATATAGTTGAGTTTGGCGTCTAGAGTCTAAACTAATCATTTTAACTAATCAAAAAATATAGTTTATTCAATAATAAATAAATATGTGAATCATAACAGTGATTGACAGCTGATAGGAATAATATGATTGTTAATATCATCATATTCATTCAGACAAACATCGATGAGACAGTTAATTAATGTACCTATAGCAGCAGTCTGCATAGATTTGGTTCCCCTGCTGGTCTAAGAGTGAAACAAACTCATTCAGTTATTGTTCAGTTAAAATTCATTAAATGATGTCTGCCACCTTATATATGTAAGGCTTTACTGATGTGCCACAATAATGTCACCTATGTTATTGAGTTAAAATATTAATATTGTGGCTTTCCAAGTTAAAGGTGGGGTAGGTAAGTTTGAGAAACCGGCTCGAGATACACTTGTTATATTCCATGGAATGCTCTTAACGATGATAGCAATGAATATCTGAAGTGCTTTGACAACAAATCCATAAAAAAATGTCATCTGTTGAAGCCGTAATACTGTAAAAACCACGACCAATCATCTGAATGTGTTTGGTTAGTTGTAAGAGGGACGAGGTGCGTCACGTGTTAATGTATCATTGGTGCTCGAGTTGACTTCCTGAACTAGCTCGCAGGCTTCGCCCCATTTAGGTAATAGTTATGAATTAACAATTCAATGTAAGTAGTAAACCGTTGAAATACTTAACGTTAGGGAACAGTTAGCTAGAAGTAACGGATAAACAGTTGTAATTGTAAGCTAAGTTGTAGGCTAATAGCTAGCTAAGTAATGGGTAAACAGTTTAGCTTAAAGAAACGGCTAACAGATATAAAAGTTAACGTAAAAAGAGGAATGGGTAGCTTAAAGTAATGAATAAACAGTTTAAATAATTAGCTAAAAGTAAGGGATACACAGTTAGCTAAAGCTTTTAAATAACTTGATCTGTTTTAACGGATAACAGTTTAAATAGTTAGCTAACAGTAACGGCTAACAGATGAAACAGTAAGCTAAAAAAACTGAAGAAATAGCTGAAAGTAAAAAAATAAAAGTAGTTTACTAAAAGTAACGGATAACCAGTTGAAATAATTACCTAAAACATTACAGAAAATATAATATTTAGCTTAAAGGGCCCATGTCATGCTTTTCCGGTTATTACCCGTCCCCTTGTGTTATGAAGGTGTTTCTGCATGTAAACGGTCTGCAGAGTCAAAAACCCTCAAAGTACACCCTGTAGCGAGTAAAACTCTAACACAGAAAATACCTCCCCAAAACGCCTCGTTGGAGATTCCTCATTTTCCATTGTTTACTTCCTGGGTACTGTGACGTGTGAACACCCAGAGGCCACACCCTCTGCCAGCCTTTCACGAAACAAAGCTTCCCAAACCTTTTAGGATTCATGCCGGATATGTAGAGCGTAGGACACTGAAGAACGATGCTGTTCCTACTTTGTTTGGACCAGCGGGAGATTCGGGTACACAACCTGTAAGTATTCATTGTTGTTTGTGTATTTATGATGTTTAAAACAAACAAGGTATCTACCACGACTGTTTCAATGGGTAAACGTTTTTCGGGCTACTAAGTTGGGATGGTGGAGAAATGCTCTCTGCAGACCCATTCTCACAGCGTTATAAACCTCTTACTCAATATCAAGCCACACTTATTGTTTTTACTTCGGCTGTGAGTGTGTGTGCTCAGGATGAGTTTCGCTTGTTCTCGCTGTATCGCCGACCCGGAAGCCTGTCTGCGAGCAGCAACGAGCCTCGCAACGTCCCGACCAATCAGAGCACACTGTGCTCACAGGGAGGGGGGGCAGGAGCTCCAACAAGCCGTTTAGGACAGAGAGTGAATACACATACTTTACAGAGATGCTGTATGAGAAACCAATGTGAGTTTGGAACATTGCTCAGTATGAATCTATTCTAGTAGACCTCAACAATGGAATTATGATCAGTAGAAATGGCCATGACACGGGACCTTTAAACTAATGACTAACAGATGAAACGGTAAGCTAAACACAACAATTAAACAGCTAAAGGTGTAGCATAAACAGATTAAATTGCTAAGAGTAACAGATGAACAGCTAAACGTATAACAGTTGCAATAGATGAGAGTAACACCTACGTCACTTCCGGGGCGAAAAGTACGACCCCGCCCACTTTTAGGGGAAAACAACGCTGTCATTTGAATGGCGGTCAATACAAATTCTGAAGTGTTTGCCAATCCGATCAGAAATGTTTGAAAACCGTGGATTTGTGGATCTTCAAAGAGCCCGATGACGATGGCCAGTCAGGCAAACTATTACATTAAATCATTGGAAATCGACGATTGGGCTCGATATATGGTTCAATTCAAATCAGTAGGCGAGGCTGTCATTTTGCCAGCTGTTACTCTCATGAGCGAGGTGGAAAATAATAGTTGTATCATGCCAACAAGCTGCTGTGTCGTTTATTGCTCCTCAAACATTAAAAGAAATCCAGAGTTACGTGTTTCTGAACTTCCTCTAAGAACAAAGGACACTAAAGAAGAGCTCTGTGGCTTCAGGCTCGACCGCCATTCAAATGACAGCGTTGGTTTCCCCCAAAAGTGGGCGGGCCCGTAAAGTGACGTAGATGTTACTCTCATCTATAGAGAGGCGAAGTCCCTCCCTTTCCGGGGGACCTCCATGGGACCTTATGTCGGAAAAAGTTTGTATTGAAGTCAATGGAGAGAGAAAGATTATCTTTTGATCCCGTTTGAATTGTGCCACGAATTACACATATGATGTTTGTCAATTTAAAGGATAATTTTGCAAGTCAAAAACGTGTCGTAAAACTGTGAAGTAACACTTTTCTTTGTGTGAAACCGCTCAATGAACTCCATCTCCCGTCTCGCACCACACACCCAGACGGCCGTCACGTTGGCACATTTCACTTCTTTCTTTCAGAATGAGGCGGAAAGTATTAAAAGAGGTGAAAATCACTCCAAGTCTGGGCATGTTGAGAGCTGTACATACACACAAGAGGAGTTAGTCGGTTCCTAAGAGCCAGCATGCGGGACCGGGACTCTGGGATTTGTAGTCTTTCTAGTTGCGTATTTTTCATAGTCTTATATTTCAACAGTTTTACGACAAACTGTGACTTTTTTGACATGGAAATTATTTTTTAAGATTGACAAACATCATATGTGTAATTTGTGGCACAATTCAAACGGGATCGAGAGATAATCTTTCTCTCTCCATTGACTTCAATACATAATTTTTCCGAAATAAGGTCCCATGAGTCCCACCGGAAGGGGAGGGACTTCGCCTTTCTATGGACATCGATCACCTACTGCTATATTTAACCATATATCGAGCCCGATCGTCGATTTCCAATGATTTAATGTAAGTGTTTGCCTGACTGGCCATCGTAATCGGGCTCTTTGAAGATCCACAAATCCACGGTTTTCTTACATTTCTGATCGGATTGGCAAAAACTTCAGAATTTGTAAATGACAGCTTTGTTTTGCCCCAAAAGTGGGCGGAGCCGTACTTTTTGCCCGGAAGTGACGCATGTGTTACTCTCAACAGATAAGCGGCTGAAACAGTTAGATACATATAACGACTGACAGTGGAAATGGCTAGTTTAATGTAATGGATAAACACTTAGCTAAAAGTACTGAATTTACAGCTAAAAGTAATTTTTTTGTGTTAAAACAGTTAGCTTAAAGTTACGGATCAGTACACAGAAACGTATCCATCTTAAATAATGAGTTAAATAATGGATGCAGACAACAACGTGTTCTGTTACAGTCATTTAATGTATTTACACTGATTAATACTCCATGTATTCGTTTATTGGATATCAGGGACCTCAGACTTCTCGCTGCTGATCCAAACTGCAGAATGTGAATTTATTTAACATTTAAAACACAGAAGAAGAGAAAGACTTTTGGTCATTATTTATTTTAGTTAATTTCACAAAGTAAACAAAGGGAAGAGACGTGTATTTATTCTGATATTTGTGGAGGAAATTCTTAAGAGAAACTGATCAATTATTCATGGACAAAGTTTGTCTTTTGTTATATTTAATAAAGTAATAAAGAAAGTAAATATCTCTGATTGGCTGAAACACCAAACAGATCATTGCAGCATTACCCATAATCCCCTCTGTTTCAGCCCTGTTTCCAAAGTGCTGATTCTCTGTCTGTTACTTCAGATGAAAATAAGGAGCCCCTCCCCACGCCCCTCTGAGAGACATTTGGTTACAAAGAACTCAATGGTGCTCTAGGAGGAGATTCAGGTGATAAGAGGGGGTGGGGGGGGTTACCTTGGTTGCTGATTGGCTAATGGTTACACAAGACAAAACATCGTTATGACATCATCAAGTGGCCAAAATCTGATCAGCTCATTTTCAGACAGGTTTTTATAGAAATGGATCAGGACAAAAAGAGAGAGAATCTTTGTTCCTGAAAAACATGTTGATGTAGCAAAGACATGTAAAAGTGGATTTTGCATCATAGGTGACCTTTAACATCTGTCTCTGTTAAACACATCCAAGACTAAAAATACAGTTTAACAGCGTAAAAGGCAATCAGAGTATAAGACTATATGTTTTAAATGATTATATGATAATTTGCCCCTGGTTTGAGTTACTGGGTGCAGGGGTCTGCCACCCTGGCGGTGAACAGCAGAGCGTTGATGCTCTTCTCTCTGATCAGCAGCAGGAAGGGTCTGTTCACCTGGAACACCTCTCTGTCGAAGTTGATGGATCGACCCACCGCCACCACACCTGTAGCCGCTGCCGCCTCGCTGCCCTCCTCGTTCACCTGCAGGGACACAACAGATTCACTCTTATTGCCCCTTCTGCTTGGAATAATATACAGAAAGCGGTACCGTAGTGGGCCGGTCGGATCAGTCACTAGCACAAATTAAATTCTGGAAGGTCATTTAAGTGAACATTTTATAAATATTCCAATTACATGCATGAAAAGAATTAAAATAAATTGCACTAAATGAACGTCTTTAAAAACACCACCCTAAGAATAATACATTTAAAAATGAAATGTAAAAATAAACAAATATATTATTTAGGAATTATTATTTAATACCAATATGTATTTATTTATTTAAAAACATAATTTAAACCTCCTTCCAGTTTTATTCCTGATAAAACAGCTGTGCAGCGAACATGCAGAGGACTGTCCCGTAACTCAACAGGTGAGTACAGGTAACCTCACAGGTGACAGGTAACCTCACAGGTAACCTCACAGGTAACCTCACAGGTAACCTCACAGGTGACAGGTAACCTCACAGGTAACCTCACAGGTAACAGGTAACCTCACAGGTGACAGGTAACCTCACAGGTAACCTCACAGGTAACCTCACAGGTAACAGGTAACCTCACAGGTAACCTCACAGGTAACAGGTAACCTCACAGGTGACAGGTAACCTCACAGGTAACCTCACAGGTAACCTCACAGGTAACAGGTAACCTCACAGGTGACAGGTAACCTCACAGGTAACCTCACAGGTAACAGGTAACCTCACAGGTGACAGGTAACCTCACAAGGTAACCTCACAGGTAACCTCACAGGTAAACAGGTAACCTCACAGGTGACAGGTAACCTCACAGGTAACCTCACAGGTAACCTCACAGGTAACCTCACAGGTAACAGGTACCTCACAGGTGACAGGTAACCTCACAGGTAACAGGTAACCGTCACAGGTGTAAACCTCACAGGTAACCTCACAGGTAACCTCACAGGTAACAGGTAACCTCACAGGTAACCTCACAGGTAACCTCACAGGTAACAGGTAACCTCACAGGTGACAGGTAACCTCACAGGTAACAGGTAACCTCACAGGTAACCTCACAGGTAACCTCACAGGTAACCTCACAGGTAACAGGTAACCTCACAGGTGACAGGTAACCTCACAGGTAACAGGTAACCTCACAGGTAACCTCACAGGTAACCTCACAGGTGACAGGTAACCTCACAGGTAACCTCACAGGTAACAGGTAACCTCACAGGTAACAGGTAACCTCACAGGTAACCTCACAGGTGACAGGTAACCTCACAGGTAACAGGTAACCTCACAGGTAACCTCACAGGTGACAGGTAACCTCACAGGTAACAGGTAACCTCACAGGTGACAGGTAACCTCACAGGTAACCTCACAGGTAACCTCACAGGTAACAGGTAACCTCACAGGTAACAGGTAACCTCACAGGTAACCTCACAGGTAACCTCACAGGTAACAGGTAACCTCACAGGTAACCTCACAGGTAACCTCACAGGTAACCCCGCCTCTTTACTGACCTCCAGGAAGGCTTTGTGGAAGGCGTCTGAGATGTGCAGACCTTCACCTCCGTCCTCCAACATCCCTGAAACACAGACGCACTTTAAACTACAGACAGTGTCACTCAAACGTACATCTTAGAATCAGTTTCAACATAGAAGGATTTTATCTCTGTGGTTTGTTGCTTTCAATGTCCTTTGTTTATAATAGGAAATCCCTCGTCAGAAGAACTGTAAAAACTGTATAAATCCTGAACGCCCCACATTTATTTAAACCCAGAATCATTTTAGATCCCAAACGTCCTATAATAATTTGGATCATGAATGCCCCACACACAAGATCATTTTCTGTCACCACATCCGTTTCCTGGTCTTCTCTAAAGAA